CCCCCCCCCTCAAAGAAAAAAAGAACAACAATCCAAAAAGCCGTTAACAAACAACTAAAACTGTCTTGACCCAAATGGTGAGAGGACACATGTATTTTATGTAGCCTACAGTACTTTTCTTTTTAAAACTACATCTATTACTGTTACAGTGCATTCAGTCTGCAGACCTCTGTTGACGACCTCCAAAACAGCAACCGCAATGGTTTTATTACATAGAAAAAGAAAAGAGTTGACCTGTTTCTTCCAGTTACGCGTCCACAGCCTTGTTTAGCTTTAGTACGAGCTTTACGGCACTTACAACCCAGTAGGTCATATTATTATTATTATTATTATTATTATTATTATTATTATTATTATTATTATTATTATTGTTCCTGACGATTACAGGTGTTGCTGTGCAGCAAAATCCAAAGGAAATATTAAGAGGAGATAATGACTACATATATTTGTTGGGAAAGAAGGAACTAAACATACACCAAAACACTAATAAACCACCCACATGGTTAGAGCATAACGTCATCGCATACATTATAGTGAGTAAAAGTCACAGTATCATAAAAAAAAGAGAAATAGTATAGAATATAGGTGTAACGCTCCTATCAACATAATGAGGGTATTTAAGAAGAGGGACCCCCGAGTTTAACGTCCGTCTTCGAAAGGGCCGACCCAAAAAGGAACTTTGTATAAATTGCCTTTCTCAAGAACGCAACGTCGGACTAAGCGTGGGTCTAACCCCGAAACCATCAAATTCACGATTACGGGTCCAACCGCCTAAACCACAAGGCTACAAACGCCAGCTATATCATCATAGAAGACGGTAGAATCAAGAAAACAGAATCAATATATTACAGACTGTATAACAAAACACGCAATCTCAAAGAAAAAGAAAAAGACAGATATTGTGCAAAACAAACAAGAGGAAGGAAAATACTACGTAACACGTAACAAAAAAGTTTGTTAAAAAGTCACACTGTGTCACGAATTTGTTAATTAAGTGATTACCTGTGAGGTTTGATGAAAAAATAAATCAATGGGTTTGATCGTCTTAGCAGGTGATAACCTCCTCCCTCGCCCTCTCTATCTGCCTCGCTCTGTATTGCGCTCACGTACGCACACACAAAATGGCCGGAATGTTCAAAACTTGGATTACGTTGCAGCGGCGAAACAATTCTCCGGGTTTTTCATTCTTCAGCCTCGCTCACGTCGAGTAGCATGATTAATGGAGAGAGGAGGATTTTTGGGGGGTGTGGAATCGATCTATAAGGAAAGGGCGCAAAGGTTTTCGATTGGCAGTTCGATCTGATTGGTTGATTGGGCATAAAGGAGAGAGGTATTATATATTTCCTTCACAGTTCCGGGGAAAGTGCAATTAGATAATCGCTTGCCATAATCAGATGACGTCACCTGGGATGTATTTTTTATGGGTGTGCAAAAGAATTAAAGAGTAGATCATTCTGATATTTATGTGTTTTGTGCATCGTTATTGTTTTACTCTCCTTGATGCTGCCTTTATATTTTTTGTCGTTTTGGCTTTTACTGTTGTTGTTGTTGTTGTTGTTGTTGTCGTTATTGCCGTTGTTAAAGCTGCTGATGTTGCTTCTGTGGTTTGTTGTTGTTGGTGGTGGTGTTAGTGTTAAAGTTTAATACGCATCTATACACTGAGTTCTTAAAGCATCAGGATATGAGAATAAGACAGGATAATTCAGAAAGAAGGAGGTCAATTTTCATAGTAAACTCTTAAGGAATTGAACCTCGAGTCTCCCCATTGCACAACAAGCTCTCAAACAAACGGAGAACAGCTGTTGTCCGGACGGAATAGGTCGATCGCACTCCCCTCCCCCCCGCCTCCCCCCCCCTACTTTTCATCCCTCTCTCTCGCTATTCAAGCATCGGTCGTTAGCTGACAACGCTTACATTAACACATGTAAAGACAAACAAGATTCGAAGAGACTGTTGTCATTGCTTTGGAGCTATCGATCTCAATAAAACGTTATTGATTTATCGGCTGGTGGTGGTTGGGGGCCTGAGGTCAGTGTCAAATCTTCATCAGTTCTGCCTGCAGGCTTGATTTCGTTCTAAGTACAGGCAAAATTAATGTTTCTGTGCTGTAATTTATTTTGTTCTCCCAAAGGGCAAACGAACAAACAAAAGAGGAAACACAGGAACAAACAAATTTCGGGGATAGAATATTCTAGCAAATAAATACATTAAAAAATAAACAGAGAAACAAACAAACCGAACATAAACTAAAAGACAGTTGCACCAGCTGACTTGATATTTCTCTGACTTTTTTCGTGAGTTTGACTTAAGTCATGGCGTCACTCGTCTGGCCACAGTCGCAGGGGTATTCTCTTGTTTAATGATCTCTCTCTCTCTCTCTCTCTCTCTCTCTCTCTCTCTTTCTCTCTCTCTCGCTCTCCCTCGATACAAATCTCAACACACAGGAATCAAACCCCAGTCTTCCGTGCACAAAATCAAAGCACCTCACAGCAATCCCACAGATTCTGCTTCTCCGCTATCTTTTCTAACACACAAGGAGCGAAATTTGTAAAGGAAAAAAACAAATAAATACGAAAAAAAATTCTTTAAAAAAACGCAAAATAAAATTTTACTCAACTAAAAAAAAAGCCAGCCAAATTAAACCAAATCCTCCATCTAATTACAGGTTTTAAGTTAACACTTTTTCCTAACTGCAGAATATCCCCTTCCCCCATCCCCACCCCTTCTCTCTCTCTCTCTCTCTCTCTCTCTCTGTCTCTCTGTCTCTCTCTATCTCTCTCTGTCTCTCTCTCTCTTTCTCTCTCTCTCTTTGTCTCT